AAAAAAGGCTGATAGAAATCCTGCATCAATTCCCAGAAATGTAGCTCCTCATCTTCTGAGATTTGGATAGGAGATCTACAAAATGGGGTAGAACAGTCACCCTCTCTTGTAAGTGATTTTAATAATTCTTCTTCAGGTCAAGCATTGGTCTTTTCATTGAATACCTAATCACATGTATCTTTCGATGTCAAAGAAACATATAGCAAATCTGAGATTAAACATTCACAAAGGGATCCAAGTTGGTAGAGGAAGGTACCTCTCTATAATATACAATTTATGTCTCTAATATCTTTTATTTATTTATTTATTTATTTTCTAGTAAGCAATGTTGACTTAGGAAACCAAAGTTTCTTTTCTTGTTGTTTTTTGAGACAAAGTCTCACTCTGTTGCCTGGCTACTAGAGTGCAGTGGTGTCATTATAGCTCACTGCAACCTCAAACTCCTGGGCTCAAGTGATCCTCCTGCCTCAGCCTCTGGAGTAGCTGGAACTACAGGTGTGCGCCACCATGCCCAGCTAATTTTTCTAATTTTTGTAGAGATGGTATCTCACTATGTTGTTCAGGCTGGAACTCCTGAGCTCGAGTGATCCCCCTGCCTGGGCTTCCTAGAGGGTGAGGATTACAGGTGTGAGTCACCTCACCCCGCCATGAAACCAAAGTTTCTAACTTTGAAAAGTCCCAAGCATTTTTCTTGGTATTCAATTCAATAAAAGTTCATTGAATTAACATGTTAAAATATATTTTTAAAAAATGTTGTATACTTTTAGGATCCTTTGTAGAATTTATGAGGATTTGAAATTGTGAGGATTATGGTAATTTGATCCACCCTGGAATGAAGATACCTTCTACATATCTTCTGGACTCTTCCAAAAACACATTTTGAGAAATTCTCTCTCCATATTGGGCACATCATTTACTCTCTCTTGGTTCAAGTCTCTCCTTTGTTACTTTCAAGTAATCTTGAATTTGAGTGAGGAACCAATCTTAAATCTTGGTAAATGAAACTGATATACAAGTAGCTAGCTTTATACTTAATTTCAAAGCAATAAATTTCTTAAGAATTACAAGGATCTGCCAGGTGCAGTGATGAGCCCTATAGTCTCAACTACTCAGGAGGCTGAGGCAGGGGAATGGTTTGAGCCCAGGCATTGGAGACTGCAGTGAACTATGATGACACCACTGCATTCCAGCCTGGGTGAGAGAGCAAGACCCTGTCTCTAAAAGAAAAAAGAGTTACAAGGATAGTATTTAGTATTTGCCTTATATATTATATATATCTATAAGTGGTTGACCTTTGAACTTCATAGGTAAATTGAACATTTTCTGCAGTTCCCATATGAATGTTAGATTATTAGTTACTCATGAACTGAATAAAATTGTTAATTCTTCTAGTTTATAATTAGCAAATACAAGAAAGGAGGGTGGGATTTGGGTTCTTAGATGGCTGGATATCTTGTTCAGAAAGAAGAAGTAGCCTTTTCATTTAGGGAAAACAAGAAAGTGATGAGAAAGAAGTAGTTTCAAGGGTCAAGAGTTGCCACTGGCTCAGTGAAATTGCCTGACGGCTTTGTAGCTAGAGAAGGAATCTTTGGGGTAGGGTTAAGTGTGGATTTTAAATTGTTTTAATAATTGTAATTATTATCGCTTTTTGAAGAGGGTGTATTAACTCAGTTGTAAAATGCTTGACATTTGAGAATTCCTTTAACGTTATATTTCAAAATATTTTGGTACATGCACAAGATGCTTCTTATGACTCTCATATGACCAGTCTTTCTGGAGAAGCACAAGAAGTACAAGTTCAGCCTGATACGCTGGCAACTCGTATTTGTTTTTGAGAAATCTCAAACTGTTTTTATGAGAATTTACCCTCTCGGGGCAACAAACGACTCTGAACAACTCTACCAACAACTGCCCCATGGGAGAGGATGCGTGGGGACACCTGCGGCCGGCTGTTTGGAGGAGAAAGACAAAGCTGCTGGGGAGAAATCAGGGTAACTGGCAGCCTCGGACTGAGCAGTGGAAAATAGAGAACAGCTGCCTTCTCTGTCACCCCAGATACCAGTTGAAGCAATTCTGAAGGCATCTCCAAAACCCTAGAAAAGAAAACTTTACAGGCTTGATTTAGAACCTTGAGTGAGAGGCATAGTAGTAACTTTGCACCTGGCACATAACAGGCACTCAATAAATGTGTGTTGAAAGAAAGAATAGAATGAATGAATGTATGAATGAATGAATGAACTTTGTAACATTCTGAAGCACTAACTAGCATATCCAAAAGTTGGAATATCTCACTGTTAGGGATAATTAAGAACAGGACTACTTTTTTTTTTTTTAAAGGAAAATAACTCAACAAAGAGTAACTCCCTGGTCTATAATAAAGATAGAAAGGATTCTGTGGTTAGTCCAGAAACCAACATAGATATGTACGTGCTGTGTGAATCTATAAAGGAGATTGTTATTCTTTTTCTTTTTTTGAGACAGACTCTTGCTCTCGTCACCTCAGCTAGAAGTGTAGTGGCATGGTCATAGCTCACTGCTACCTCCAACTACTGGGTTCAAGCATTCCTCTTGCCTCAGTTTCCTGAGTATCTGGGACTATAGGCATGTAGCATCCTGCCCCACTAATTTTTGTATATTTAGTAGAGACAGGGTATTGCTCTTGTTCAGGTTGGTCTTGAACTCTTGAGCTCAAGTGATCTGCCTGCCTTGGCCTCCCAGTGTTAGGATTACAGGTGTGAGCCACTGCGCACCAGCTGAGCCTGTTATTCTTAATATTCCCTTATCATGGAGCTGTTTAAGGCAGAAAAGAAAGTACTAGAATGTGCGCATCTTTTAAAGTAAGATTTTATTTTTTACGGATAATATGAACATTTACATAGCCTGGAAAATAGACATAAAGCCAGCAGCTGCTAATCTAAAGAAAGTGCATACTGTTGCCTTGACCTTGTGATCCTTTCTAAAAACTTACAGGCTCGTGCATGTGAAAAGGTTTGTTAAGAATTTCCCAAGAATCCAATAAATGTAATCTCATAGAATGTAAAAATGTTGATAGTATTTGTATTTAGTGATACATTTTCAAATGTGCTGATGTTAATAATTGTCAAATACGGTTTAACAGTGTTTTTTTTTTTTTTTTTTTGTTGGGGGGAGGGGGGGGGGGGGGTGTCTCGCTCAGGATGGTTTCGAACTCCCAACCTGGAGCAACCCGCCCGCCTCGGCCTCCCAGAGTGCTAGGATTACAGGCGTGAGCCACCGCGCCCGGCTTTAACTGTTTTTAGCTCTTAACATCCTAAGTGAGGTCCAAATGCCTCTTTTCAATAACAACCCTGAGAAGAGAGAACACAGTTGAAAGTTTCTTACAGAAGGAGAGTGAAGTGTTGAGCAGTGGTTAGGTGTGGACTTTTAAGTGAGATGCAGGTTGGACTCCTTGCTTTTCCTTCTACAAGCTGTGAGACCTCAAGCACATGATTTCAGTTCTCTGGGCCTACTCCCTCCCACCACCATTGGTAAAATGAGAATAATAGTATCTATACCATGGGGTTAATGTAAAGATTATATGTGATGATATATGCAAAGTGTTTTGAATACAGCCTGTAACAGAAAAGAATTCTAATGTTTCCTACATAGTCAAAATTTAAGTCAAAGTGGGTGAAATGTGTATAAATTCCTAAAACCAAGTATTTTGCAAATATACTGTTTCTTAAGGGATAAATTCCAGAGAAACTGGCCTTTGTGTAGTCCTTGCGATAAAAATGATTAATTCAGAAGACAAATTTGATGCTGGATAACTGACCTATGGTTCCCAAGGGACCATTAGAATTCACGCAATTAATTAATTAGGCACGCAACATCCTAGTGCTGGACCACTGCTTACATCAACTCTCTACTAAACTGTACTAAATCTGGATATGAGGTATTTATCTGGAATCTAGTGTCAATATTCTACAAGTTTCTTCATTTTCAATAGAGATTCCAGCTATTTGTGAAAACCCAGGCACTCGCTTGCCAGTTACAACCGAGGTAAATTTTGTCTTTCAGTCCCAGCACCTCATGCTTATGTGCCAAATAATCCACCTAAAAATGTATTTCAAATATTTATTGACTGCCTGCTATGTTCATACAATAAATATTATATTCGAGAGTACGGGAGGAAAGAACGCAAGCCGTTAGGCTGCTATGGAAGGGAGTCTTCACCTTCTGAGAGATACTGATGGCGAAGCAACCGCTCCATGCCACCAAGTCTTACTCAGCGTCGCTTGGGAGAGGTGGCCTGGACGGGTGAGCCCCAGCAGCAGGCCCTCGGAGAAGGACAGGCACATTTCCGGTAACGGCCTCATTTCCCCCGGGTCCCCAGGGAAGGGGGCGGCCTGCACTGCCGGTGGCATGGGCTGACATCACTCGTTCCGGAGGACGGGAGCGCGGGCCGCCGGGCCCACCTCATCCGTCGCCTGACTGAATTAACCTCTCGGTTCCCGGCTCCCGCCACGTGAGGTGCCCAAATATGGTCACGGTCCGGAGGGGCCAAGAAGCGCTCGCCTTTCCCCCGCTAAAGGGGGCACGGGGGAACAACTGTTGAGAGTCCAGCACGATCTGAAGGGAAGCAAGTGGGCGCTCGGGTCGCCCCTGGGCGAGTTGGGAGTCCGCGGCAGGAGAAGCCCCCGCCTCGGGCTATCGGTCAGGTAGCACACCGCAGCTGAGCCAGTGACCCCGGGAGGCTTTTCGCTCCCCCTCTTTCCTGCGGTCCCCTCACCTCCTGCGGCCCTGGGTCATCCCCGTAGCTCCGGTGCCCTTTGGGGGCCGGGAGGGCACCCTGGGGGCCGGGCGGGCAGCTGCAGCTCGCGGCGGGCGCGGCGCGGCCGGGCGGAGCGGGGGATGCTGCTGCAAGGCGTGTCTGGCCGCGCTCATGTGATGAGGCGAGGGAGAGCCGGGGAGGGGGCGGAGGCTCAGAGGTGGCTTTTTTTTTTTTCCTCTCCTTTTCTTTTAAGGAGTTTGCCGCGAGCGCGTCTCCTTCATTCGCAGGCTGGGCGCGTTCGCAGGAGGACGGCGGCGGGGCAAGGCGCTCTTGGGACCTCGCGGGCGCGCGTCTCCTGGCTCTTGCCCGCGTCCCTGCGGTTCGGGAAGGCGTAACCCGGCGGCTGGGCGCCGGAGGAGCGCGCAGGAGCCATGGGCGCCGGGAGCTCCACCGAGCAGCAGAGCCCGGAGCAGCCTCAGGCGGGGAGCGCCGCGCCGGCCGAGCCGGAGCCCAGCGGCGGCGGCCCCTCGGCGCAGGCGGCGCCGGACGCGACCGGGGACCCCTCCATCGCCGCCGCGGACCCCGCCACCAAGGTACGGGCGCGCCGGGCCACCTGCGCCGGGGAGGCGGGGGCGTCGGGTCCCTCCAGTGTCCACGCGCGAGAACTTCCCCGCCGGCCCAGCCCATCTGCAAACTCAGAAGCGCGAACCCCGCTTTCGGGGTGTTTTGCGCCGGGGCGGGGCCGGAGCCGCGGCGAGCGCGGCGGGGGGCTTGCATCTTTGTCGCGGGTCTCCAGGGGAGGCGACTGCGCCTTCCGCGGTCATAAAATCCGCCCCTGCCCACCGCTGCGGAGCCTTTCTCCACACTCTTCCGGTGGGAGCGGTCCCGCCCGAGGTGGAGGAGCTCCGGGGGAGGGGGGCGCCGCGGAGAGCTGACCGCCGCCGGGCGTCCGGAGCTCCGGAGCGGGCCCCGCATCCGAGGTGCGGGAAGTCCGCGGCGGGGCCGGCGGCTCGGCCACCCCCGGGCTCCCCGCGGCGGGCTGCCCTTGACTCCCGCTGCGCCGGAGCCAGCGGGTTTGGTACCCAGTCCTCCCGCGGCAGTGGCTCCGGCAGACGCCGCCTTCCCGATGCGGAGAGGCTCGGGTGTAGCTCTCCCGGAGCCACGGAAAACCTGGGCAGGCGCTGCATTTCCAAAAGGAATGACAGGTTTCGCAAACAAGCCAGCGCCCTCCCTTTTCGCGCGGATCTTTGCCTGCGGATTCCGTTGGCCTGCAGTTGGCTACACTCGCACTGGAGTAGTTAGAAGTTCTCCAAGGATGCGGTCACAGCGTAAGCGAGCTTCCCTGTACGCTTTTCCAGGGAGGCAGTGCTGAAACTACTAGAAATACCGCATTGTGTAGTCTCCAGTCAAGGCTGGAATATTTCTTCCGGACCGCTGTAGCCACCGAGGTTGTGGTTTGTCCCGATCGTTGTATTTTAGATCTATTTTCCAGCATACGTGTTCATTAGTAAGGCTTTGAGCCACGTATTTTGGAATATCCTTATAGAAAGTTGTGGATAACCATACTTAATACTTAAAAAAACTACCCATGTGTCGAATTTGAGGATGCAGAATATGTGAGGACCATTAAGAGTTATCTCAAGAGATATAGATGTTTACAATGTGGGGGGAAATGGAATCTAGAACTATGACCTCATTGCCTTGACCTCCTTAGTTGTCCTAGTCTAGTTTGGGCTTAGAGATTGCTCTTAATAACATAGTTTTTACCTCCAGTCTTTAACTCATAAATGCTTGTAAAGTCCCTGGTCCTTAGATACGAGTACCAACTGTACTTCTACCATATAGATTTTCTAAGGGGTACCTAATCTTCAGGCCTAAGGAATGTACTAACCTTTTGAGGTCCATGTCACATTTTAACCTTATTGTACATTACATTTTGATGCCAACTGCTGTCAAAGTGCTCCATAACCGGTGTTTAGAGTCTAGTGATGAAAGTAATTTTAAGGCATTAATAGCTAAAAACTTGCAATTGGAGAACTTTTTTCCCTTGGCTTTTATGCTCATTTAGGTCTTATTAATTGTTGACACTGAAATATGGGACTTACTCCCTTTCCAATAAACTGGAATTTGTTTATTTTAAAATATTTCTTTTTCCATGACTGCATTCTTCTCTTTCCTAGTCACCACCATCTTAAAACAGCCCAACAACCTTTTTAAAAAAAATTACTTAAATGTCATCCATAATATCTTTGAGCTTGTTGGCATGCTGCCCAGTTATCAATTTGGAGACAAATCAATGCACTTACATGTATCCTCGGAATATATGTAGTTTTCATATTCACTAGCAAAATTTATTACTCAGATTCTGAACTCCTGAGTCTTTTCTAAAGGACTCCCACATTAAGAATGACTCAGCACACATAACTCTGGCTTCCCCTCCTATTGTTATGCTCCAATTCTTGACCTCCCTGCAATCTCATCTGCCACTCTAGGCTCCCATGGTACCATGGACCCTTTTTAAGTTTAGTGGCTTGACTAATAATGTTCCCCTGGCTGTTCTGAATGCTCCACAAGGGCAGGGAACATGCCTGGTGTTGCTTACAAATGGTGTTCCTCCCCATGTGCCATGCTGCGGGGCACGTAAATCGGCTCTTAGTAAATACTCCTGGGAAGAAGGAAGGTATGATACTTGCTCTTTGGTTTTGATTGGAGCCTCTCAAGTTGGAGAATACCTTGGCCTGTCTGGTTTTTCTACAGTTTAACCTTTGACTGTCTCATTATCATGCTCAGTCTCAAGTATCAGATAATGACTAAGTCAAGTCAGTCTGGTTATTAATAGATTAAGTGAATTTGGCAAAGTATTCAGATTTGGGGGCTTTGGTTTCTGCTTCTGTAGAAATAGAGTGGCTTGTTAGCATTGCGATTTCAAGTTGCCTTTAATCTCAAATAGACAAATTTAATAATGCAAGTGGCTCAAATGAGAACACTCTCGAGTTACAAATGAGGTATGTTCAGTTAAAAATTATATCTTGAATTTTCTTAATGAGTCTGTGGACATTTAGGCTAATACATCATTTTTTCCTCCTTGGATAGAATGCTGACCATTAATTAAAGGTTGTTAGATTTTTTTCTAATATCATACGCATACTGTCTATTTAGCAATTTACCTTACTTTCCTTTTTTCTGCTGCTTTTCACTATCACTTAATTCACTGAGCAAATGCCCATATGTCAAAAGACATTGTGCTAATTAAATTATCACTTCTATTAGGTCAAATGGAGAGTTAAACAAGTTTTTGATTACTCAAGCTTGACATTTAGGTGCACTGAGGCAGAAATCTCGGTTCTGTGACTGATGGAAGGAGTTTTCTAGTCAATCTTTTACAATCATTATATGTAAATTCTGGGGGGAAATGATTACTTATTTGCCAGGTTTAACTTTGAGACATGGCCATTTTGGTCACTTTGGCCACAACAGGGTACAAGGAGATTAGATCTGAAGGCAGGAGATTAGTTAAAAGTATCACATTATTTCTCAATTATTTGTTGTTGTTTCTGTTTTTAAGACTAGTCAAGTGCAATAGTGAGAAGAGGGGAAGAGCAGAACAAGGACTTCCATCTGTAACTTTGAGATAACTCACCACCTTTGGACCAGCCAACTGTGTCTGAAAATTTGTCTTTGAAAGAGTATTTTCATTCGGGTGGCAATAGAGGGTGGGAGGACCAATGACCGTTCTACTGTCTCTGGCAAACCCTGATTTCTGGAGCCAAACTCCAGACTAAGTCTGGACGATTGTCATCCTGCCGAATTAGCCTTTCTATATTGTGTGCGCATTCAGTGATTTCCACCTGGAAGTGGGACTGTGGTTAGCTGCAGCAGGGTGAGGCTACTGCCCCTGGCAGGTGGGGAGATGCGGGCTCTTGTCAGTCCCTCAAGCTGTGGTTCTGTTTTGCTGCAAGAGCTGTGAATCACTAAAACGGAAAGACGTACTTAAATAGAAGAACCCATTGTCTGATTGGTAAATTTAAGCATGTGCTCGACTCTCATGCATTAAAACAGACGATTGAGGTGGCCAGCTGCATTTCATGATTCCTCGACCTTAGCAACCTTAGCCAACCGAAGGTCATGCTTCCTCCCACGTGAACCTGTTTGCAAAATGGGAGTAGAGATGAAGATGGCCTTAATGTGGCTATGTCACCAGTTTTACACTGTGGGGGCCAGAATTTAGGTGATTAGAAGAGAGAATAGTGTGTTTGTCAGTAGAGTGGTGTTGTATGTGGCTACTTGTATTCTTATGGGTTTTCCCCAGTTTACGAGAGGTGCTACTTTCTCATTAGAACACATACCAAACATTGGGATGTAGGTGTGAGGATGGCTCTTTCTTTATGATAGATATCCTGTGGGGATTGCAGGGCCTTCCCTGGAGTCCATTACTAGCTTTTAGGCTAGGGCAGGTGTCCTCAAACTACGGAGCGCAGGCCACATGTGGGTGTTTTTGCCCGTTTGTTTTTTTATTTCAAAATAAGATATGTGCAGTGTGCATAGGAATTTGTTCATAGTTTTTTTTAAACTATAGTCCAATGGTCTGAGGGACAGTGAACTAACTGGCCCCCTGTTTAAAAAGTTCGAGGACCCCTGGGGTAGGGGATGCGAGATCAGTGGAGAGTTCCATTCAAAATACTTCCCTTTATAAGGAGTAGGCTTCCAGTGTGCACACGCTGTGCGCCGGCTGATCTCTGTGCCTTTATACCTTTAAACTGATGCTGTAAAGATTGTTCTAGTTTGGTATTTTATCGGATAATTAACAAATTGAAATAAAATGTTTTGTTTTAAAAGATACTGCGAAATTATTTCTTTTTCAGCTTTTAATACATAGTCAGTGCTTAGACTGACACCAATGCAAGAAAAATCAAGCTAAAATGGTGCTTATCCTTGGCCTGTATAATTTTATATACAGTAGTCATTCATGAAGTGAGAAATTAGGATATATAGCACTAAGCGTTCTGAAATAAATATAATTAGTACCTTTATCTCTTGAACAAGCAAAACTAAATTTCCTTAAACTTAATTCTTCTGTTATAATCTAACAAAAATTATAATTTAGAATAAGGTTTAGTTTAAAATAATACAATGGGAAAACATGAAAAAGGCTAGGGGAAGGGAGAAGCATTATATTGTATAAATGTGTAGCTTATTGCCAATAAATTATTGAAAAATCTGTAATTAAAATTATTTGATTTGTCTATTTAGATCTTGGTCCATTTTCCTGCAAATTAGAGGATGAAAGGTTAGAATTTTGTACCTATAATCACCCTGTGTTTCCTATTCATTAGACATCTGATAGAAGGGTTGGGGTGAAGATAATAATTTGTAATAAATTTCAGTTATACATAACTTCATATTTCTCATCATGAATAATTACTCATTTGAAATTATACATCTGATGATATCATCACTCTTGAATCATAAAGGCTTTGTAAAGGTTAAAAGCATCTTTTTACTCTTACTAAAATGGTTTTTATTATTTAAAGTCATTGCATAGCAGCATTCATTTTATTGTTTATTTTTAAAAAATTGTTAATGACTATTTGAA